ATAGTGGACATCCCTGTCATGTTCCTGACCTTAGGGGGAAAGCTCTCAGTTTTTCCCCATTGAGAATCATATTCGCTGTGGGTGTTTCATAGACGGCTTTTATGATCTTGAGGTATCTACCCTCTCTCCCTATACTCTGAAGAGTTTTGATCAAGAAAGGATGCTGTACTTTGTCAAATGCTTTTTCTACATCTATTGAGAGGATCCTATGGCTCTCGTTCTTTCTGTTATTAATGTATTGTATCATATTGATTGATTTGCGGATGTTGAACCAACCTTGCAGCCCAGGAATAAATTCCACTTGGTTGTGGTGAATAATCCTTTTAATATACTGTTGGATCCTATTTGCTAGTATTTTGGTGAGAGTTTTTATATCCATGTGCATCAGGGATATTGGTCTGTAATTCTCCTTTTTGACGGGGTCTTTGTCTGGTTTTGGGATCAAGGTAATGGTGGCCTCATAAAATGAATTTGGAAGTTTTCCTTCCATATCTATATTTTGGAACAGTTTCAGAAGAATAGGTATTAATTCTTCTTTAAATGTTGGGTAGAATTCCACTGGGAAGCCTTCTGGCCCTGGGCTTTGTTTTTTGGGAGATTTTTGATGACTGCTTCAATTTCCTTAGTGATTATAGGTTTGTTCAGGTTTTCTGTATCTTCCTGGTTCAGTTTTGGTAGTTTATACATCTCTAGGAATGCATCCATTTCTTCCCGATGATCTAATTTGCTGGCATAGAGTTGCTCATAAGATGTTCTTATAATTGTTTGTATTTCTTTGGTGTTGGTTGTGATCTCTCCTCTTTCACTCATGATCTTATTTATTTGGGTCAGTCCCCTTTTTTTTTGATAAGTCTGGCCAGGGGTTTATCAATCTTGTTAATTCTTTCAAAGAACCAGTTGCTGGTTTTGTTGATCTGTTCTACTGTTCTTTTGGTTTCTAGTTCATTGCTTTCTGCTCTGATCTTTATTATTTCTCTTCTCCTGCTGGGTTTAGGCTTTATTTGCTGTTCTTTCTCCAGCTCCTGTAGGTGTAGGATTAGGTTGTGTATTTGAAACCTTTCTTGTTTCTTGAGAAAGGCTTGTATTGCTATATACTTTCCTCTTAGGACTGCCTTTGCTGCATCCCAAAGATTTTGAACAGTTGTATTTTCATTTTCATTTGTTTCCATGAATTTTTTTAATTCTTCTTTAATTTCCTTGTTGACCCATTCATTCTTTAGTAGGATGCTCTTTGGCCTCCATGTATTTGAGTTCTCTCTGACTTTCTTTTTGTGATTGAGTTCTAGTTTCAAAGCATTGTGGTCCCAAAATATGCAGGGAATGATCCCAGTCTTTTGGTACCAGTTGAGACATGATTTATGGCCTAGGATGTGATCTGTTCTGGAGAATGTTCCATGGGCACTAGGGAAGAATGTGTATTCTGTTGCTTTGGGGTGGAATGTTCTGAATATATCTTATCTGTGAAGTCTGTTTGGTCCAGTGTGTCCGTTAAAGTCTTTATTTCCTTGTTGATTTTTTGCTTAGATGATCTGTCCATTTCAGTGAGGGAGATGTTAAAGTCCCCCACTATTACTGTATTGTTGTCAATGTGTTTCTTTGCTTTTGTTATTAATTGCCTTATATAATTGGCTGCTCCCATGTTCGAGGCATAGATATTTACAATTGTTAGATCTTCTTGTTGGATAGACCCTCTAAGTAGGATATAGTGTCCTTCCTCATCTCTTATTATAGTCTTTGTTTTAAAATCGAATTTGTCTGATATAAGGATTGCCACCCCAGCTTTCTTTTGGTGTCCATTGGCATGGTAAATGGTTTTCCACCCCCTCACTTTTAATCTGGAGGTGTCTTTGGGTCTAAAATGAGTCTCTTGCAGACAGCATATCGATGGGTATTGCTTTTTTATCCAATCTGATAGCCTGTGTCTTTTGATTGGGGCATTAGCCCATTTACATTCAGGTTAACTATTGAAAGATATGAATTTAATGCTGTTGTATTGCCTGTATGGTTGCTGTTACTGTATATTCTCCCTGTTCCTTTCTGGTCTATGTTACTTTTAGGCTCTCTCTTTGCTTGGAGGACCCCTTTCAATATTTCTTGTAGGGCTGTTTTCGTGTTTGGAAATTCCTTTAGTTTTTGTTTGTCTTGGAAGCTTTTTATCTCGCCCTCTATTTTCAATGATAGCCTAGCTGGATTCTTGGCTGCATATTTTTCTCATTTAGTGCTCTGAATATATCATGCCAGTCCCTTCTGGCCTTCCAGGTCTCTGTGGATAGGTCTGTTGCCAATCTAATGTTTCTACCATTGTAGGGATTAGACCTCTTGTCCTGAGCTGCTTTCAGAATTTTCTTTTTGTCTCTGGGACTTGTAAGTTTTACTATTAGATATTGGGGTGTTGACCTATTTTTATTGATTTTGAGGGGAGTTCTCTGTGCCTCCTGGATTTTGATGCCTGTTTCCTTCCCCACATTAGGGAAGTTCTCTGCTATAATTTGCTCCAATATACCTTCTGCCCTCTCTCTCCTTCTTCTTCTTCTGGGATCCCAATTATTCTAATATTATTTCGTCTTATGGTATCACTTAACTCTTGAATTCTGCCCTCGTGATCCAGTAGTTGTTTATCTCTCTTTTTCTCGCTTCTTTATTTTCCATCATTTGGACTTCTATATCACTAATTCTCTCTTCTGCCTCATTTATCCTAGCAGTTAGAGCCTCCATTTTTGATTGCACCTCATTAATAGCCTTTTTGATTTCGCCTTGGTTAGATTTTAGTTCTTTTATTTCTCCAGAGAAGGTTTCTCTAACATCTTCCATGCTTTTTTCAATCCCAGCTAGTATCTTTAAAATCGGCATTCTGAACTCTAGGTCCCACATGTTACTAATGTCAGTATTGATTATGTCCCTGGCAGTCGGTATTGCCTCTTTTTTTTTTTTTTTGAGGTGAGTTTTTCCGTCTTGTCATTTTGTCCAGAGGAGAACAGATGAATGAGAGAACAAAATGCTAACAGGGTAACAATGTCCCCACAGAAATATATAGCAAAGAAATCAGAAGAGACCTGAATCGGGGGGTGGGGGAGGGAGGGAAAGAACGAAAAAAGAAAAAAGAAAAAGAAAAAGATTAAAAGAAAAAGAATATGATCAAATATGATCAGGCTGGTAATAGATCAGTGCCACACAGTAGGTTTTAGGTGTATTTTGGTCTGTTAGAAGAAACTGCCTCTTAAAATTTTAAAAGAAAGAAAAGCTTATAATGTACAAAAATAAGGGCAAATACGATGAAGGGATGGAGTATGACTATAAAGATGAAAATTATAAAAGGTTTTGTAAAAGGAATTGATAAGAGAAGAAGTTGGTTGAAAAAAGAAAGAGAAGTTAAGAAAAAAAGGGAGAGAATGTGATCAGGCAGGAGACTAGAACAAAGCCATACACTAGAAATTTAGGGTATATTTTGGTCCGTTAGAAGAAACTGTATCCCACAATTTTAAAGAGAGAACAACTTATATATATGCTAAAAATAAGGTTAAGTACTATGAAGGGATAGAATATGACTCTAAAAATGAAAAATAAAAAAGATTTTTTTAAAAAGCGATTGATAAGATGTTGGAAGAAAGGGAAAAAAAAAAATAAAAAAAAAAAAAAAGAGGGTCGCCTCGGTTGCTCAGTCGTTAAGCGTCTGTCTTCGGTTCAGGTCATGATCCCAGGGTCCTGGGATTGTTCCCCACATTGGGCTCCCTGCTCAGCGGGAAGCCTGATTCTCCCTCTCCCCCTCCCCTCTGCTTGTGTTCCCTCTCTTGCTGTGTCTCTCTCTCTCTGTCAAATAAATAAATAAAATCTTAAAAAAAAAGAGAAAGAAAAAGAAAAAAGAAAATTAAAAAAATTGACTTTGAAAGACGAATCAGGGGGAAAAAAGCGATGAATTCTATGTGTTGTATTTCCCTAGTGCTGGAGTTCTGCTCTTCTCATTAATCGGTAAACTTGGTCTTGGGTGGCTGAGCTTGCTGTGATCTTCTGGGGGAGGGGCTTGTCACAGTGAGTCTAAATTGTCTTTGCTGGAGGCAGAATTGTCCCACCCTCGCTGGGTCCGGGCTAAGTAATCTGCTCGGGTTTGCTCTCGGGAGCTTTTGTTCTCTGCAAGCTTTCTGTACAGCATGGAGGATGAGAGTGAAAATGACGGTCTCCCAATCTCCACCCTATAGGAACCAAGAACTCGGGCCCCGCTCCTCAGTGCGCCCCCAAAGAAGAGCAGTCAGTCACTCCCGTGTCCCCGGTCTCCGGCCGCACTCCGTGCTCCCCCAGCCTGTGACGGAGCATTTCTATCTCTCCTACACGTCCCCGTTCGGAGTCTCCAAACCCAGCAGATCCCTGCGGTGTGCTCCCACACTGCTCCTCCCGGGGGAGGAAGGGGAGTCTCCCCGGATCTGCCGCTTGTTGGGTCCCAGCTGGAGGAGCAGTGGCCCGACTATGCCGCAGATCACAGTTTATGGCAACCTTGAGCTGAGAGCCCACTCCTCGGCTCTGTCTCTGCAGCCTGCTTCCCCACTCCAATACCTGGGAGCTCTGCCGCACTCAGGCACCCCTGGTCTTTCCGTGACCCCGAGGGTCCTGAGACCACACTGTCCTGCGAGGGTTCCACCCCCCGCTTAGCCACTGGAGCGACGTCCGTTGGCAGAGCCGACTTCTAATAGTTTGATTTTGTGCTCCGCTGCTTTATCACTTAACAGTAGCAGCTGACGGAGGCCCCCTCCCCCTCCCGTGTATCCTCCTGAATATTACCTGGATTCACTTCTCCACACGTCCTACCTTCCAGAAAGTGGTCGCTTTTCTGTTCAGAGAGTTGCTGCTATTCTTTTCTTCGATCTACTGTTGAGTTCGTAGGTGTTCAGAATGGTTTGATCCCTATCCAGCTGAATTCCTGGGACCAGATGAAATTTAGGTCCTCTACTCCTCTGTCTTCTGCCTCCTCTGCTCGGTTTCTCACTTCTTTCTTGATAATTGCCTCACAGGAGAGAATAATTGAGCGTTTGAAAGAACAGCGGGAGAGAGATGATCGGGAAAGACTAGAAGAGATAGAATCTTTCCGGAAAGAGAACAAAGATCTGAAAGAGAAGGTCAATGCTTTACAAGCTGAACTGACTGAAAAAGAGGTGAGTCTGGAGAAACAAATGAACCATGCTGATAGTCCTATTCAGAGGAGCCTCAAGAGACTAGAGAGTGAGTTTGAGGGGCTGTGTGAAGGCTTTGGGGACATAGTTACCATTCCTTGGCAAAGCTGTCTGCGTTCAAAGGAAAATATTTAGTGTAACTCCCTTCATCAAGTTGCCCTATGCCCTCGTCTCTACTCTAACTGCATACAATATAGCTCCTTGAAAGTTTTCTTGATGTCTTACCACATTTTTGTGGCTAAGAGGATTCTGTATTTTTTCAGTATTCCATGACCTTTCCTTGGGATAACAACAATATCAATAGTAATAATATCTCCCCTTATTGGGGGCCTGTTATATGCCAGTCCTTGTGTTGGTTTCTTTATATTCATTTGTGTTGCTTAAGTGGATCATGGAATACTTCCAGGTTAGGGGATAAGGTACCATGCTTTACACAAAGTATAGGTTAAATGTGGCTCTTCTTCTGGAATACTGATTTTACATTATGGTAAATAATTTAAAACATTATTTTCATGCTAGAGCGAACATGGATGCAGAATACAAATCCTACCTGCATTTTTTAAGTAAAACAATATACTTTAAAGGAATTTTTTGCTTGGGGGTTATGGAGAGAATGGGTTGAGCTAAACTCCCCACACTCTGAGAGATACCTATAACTCCTTTAGTTTACTTAGGGATCCATTGATGGAGAAGTTTGAAAAGCAGCATTGCATGTCATTTTGTTGAGGCTCCAAAACTCTGACATGTGTGCCGTTGTCCACAATTGGCCCCTTCATACTTATTTTTGTCCACAGAAAATACCCATCTCCTTTAGGGCTGTTACAGATTCTTTCCTCTTACTGGGCTATATCACTGCATAGTTGTTCACTTTTCAGCCCCAGATTATTACCCCTGCCCTTGGGTTTTGGTAATTCTATACAAATTAAAGTACTCTCTAAATGAGGAATGCAAGAGTGGGAGAATTGATGAGTAATAGAAACAAAATGCATATTCCCTAAAATGTAAGCACACTAGTATTTTTGTTTTGTTTTGTTTTGTTTTACAGAGGAGATTATTTCTTTGATATGAAAATAAAGAACGTAAATTCTCTTCCTACTATTTCACTGCTAAATCTGATTTGGGGGATCTGTAATTACTGTAGTTGGTATGTGACAGAAGGCATGGAAGCTTTGACCTCATTTGCAATTTCAATAACTGATTGCAAGTGTTATTTATGGATTTGCACCTTAAAATTAATATATATATATATACTTATAATTGAAAAGAGATCTTGATGACATTGTGGAGCATAGCTTTATATGAAAATAATTTTGTAAACAATGCCTACATTGTATGATTTCAGACAGGCATTTCAGCAAACATTTATTGTTCCTGTATAGTAATGTGCCTGCCGCTGGTATGGGTGTGTCAGTCAAGGTTCTACCAGAAAAATAGAACTGTATTAAGAAATTTATTGCAAGGAATTGGCTTACATAGTTATAGGGGGTGGCTAGGCAAGTCTGAAATTCATAGGGTAGGCCATCAGGAACGTCAGGCTGGAAACACTCCAGTCAGGACCTGGCACAGCAATCCACAGGTTGATTTCTTTCTTTTCAGGGAAATCTCGGTCCTGCTCTTAAGGCCTTTCAACTGATAGGATCAGGCCCACCCAGATTTGGAGAATAACATCCTTTACTTAAAATCAACTGACGATAGGTGTTAGTCATAGCTACAGATTACCTCCATTGCAACACCTAGATTAATGTTTGATTGAATAACTGGGCACTATATAGCCTAGCCACGTTGACACATAAAGCTATCAGAACTGGCAATTTAGAATGTATAAAGAGAAACAACATATAATTGTTGTCAGCTTATAATTTAGTTTGGGTGATAATCACCTTTGTCATGACAAAATGCCTAGATTGCAAGGTCCTTTATTATTTCTGTGGGAGTGGTATGATAAGGAACATTGAAATTGGAATCAGAGTCCTGGGTTTGAGACCTGTGTCTTCCTTTAATGGGTCAGGAACCTTGGAGAAGACAGTTCATGTGAGCCTCAGTTTCTTGACTTGAAAAATGAGAGTGGCTACTTGTCCTTCAGAGGGCTGTTAGGAGGTGGGTAATTTTCTGAGTGATGGTGGTGTTATCTCATTCAACAAGTTATTCCAGGGCCCAGGAAGTAGCCCAGACACAAAACATTAGGTAAAATCATTTACTGAGTGGCCACTGTGTGCTTAGTGTCTTTTTAGGTGCTGCAAATGGATATAAAGGAAACTCACAAAGTCTGATTTTGGGTAATACCTGAATATTTTAGTTACATTGTTAGATGCTGCTAATAATTTCATGTTTGGTAATAGACATTGCCTTCCTAGCTAAGCAAAGTTATGTTCCATGATATATGCACATATTTACTTCTTGCTTTTTGAAATTCATACTGTCCAGGGGAGCTCTTGGTTTCTGGTCATGATTGATGAGTGGAACAATTTAGGTAACCCATTTCTAAGTTGGGGAGATTCATTATATCTGTTGAATTTGAATTTACAAAGGACTGGGATGTAAAGTCTACTCTAAATTTTAAAATAATTTTATCTTTGATTCTATAGAACGTATTTTTAAAACCATTGGTTATTTTTCTGTTAAGGAAATAGAATTTGATAAAAACAGGATGCTTCTTTTATATTTGATTTGCCCTTTGTGGGGGGAAAAGCATTAAAGTTAGTATTTTCTTTCTATTTGTCTTAGAGTCTGCACGACTTGACAGCAATAAATGTAAATGGAAGGTTCAGGGTGTCTGTTTTGCCATGACATGTAAAGACCACCTTGGGACTTACATCATTAGCATGACTTTGAGACGTGAAACATACATTTACTGACCACACCATTTGGTCACATTTGATTCTACTGCAATTAGATCCTGCTCCGTTCTGTAAGCTGGCCAATTTTAATTTCCTGGCCAGAGCCGGCTATTGTTACCTTAGTAAGACTATATTTACCCTTTCTGTCTAATGCACACTTTATTACTATGCAGAGAATCACTTTATTCAAATTGAAGACTAGTAGAAATTGCAGTGTTTTACTTACTAGTGTTCTTTCCTTTCAGTCTAGTTTAATTGACCTCAAGGAACATGCATCTTCATTAGCCTCAGCAGGACTGAAAAGGGACTCCAAATTAAAATCTCTAGAAATAGCCATTGAACAAAAGAAAGAAGAATGTAGCAAATTGGAAGCACAGTTAAAAAAGGTAAGTGAAGTCCAAGGAAAAAAATGCTCATTTTACAATGAATTTATAAAATGGAAATGGAAGAGATATTCTGCAAAGAAACAAACTCTTTATCTTTTGCTGTCTGCTGATAAGAGAATTAGACACTCTTAACTTATGAAGTCTGCATCAAATTGGCCAGTGAACCTGAAAAAATATCTTAGGTTTCCTGTCTGAAACAAAACTTGAAAAATAGATGAAAATAGTAGTGGAAGTAAAAAAATATTAAAAAAAATAAGCTGTTGCTCTCTGGGTAAATCTCAACTATAAAAAAAAAGTGAAAATGTTTATAACAAATCAAAGAATCTGGGGACCCCTTTATATGTTGATAAATTTATACTACTTTCAGAAGTAGGTCAATTTTTGTATGGGGAACTTTGTAAAAGTTTACCCGACAATATTAAATTTCTAGGAGTCCATCCAAATATGTCAAAGTCCCTAGAATATCTGTGGGATGACTCTTGGTACTTAACCAAAAATGACTTTCATATCTTAGAAAGCTTGTTGAATGTAGAAGGCTTTGGAAAAGAAAACAGGATCTTTATATTGCAGCATTAACATGTTTTCTCTGAACTGGACATTTTTGTGGAGTACATTTCCAGTCATGCATCATTCCTTTGACTTTTTCCCTGTGTTGTTTGGTACGTCTGCACTCATTGTTCACATAAAACTCATAACTTTATGAGTTTAAGCATTTTGTTTCCCTTTGACAACTTATAAACTTAATTCAAAAGAGGTGATAAGAATCTAAATAATCAAGCAAAGCATATAATAAAATTTGACTATGTATAATTTATAGCACACTGGAATGGGGATTTATTTGCTAAAGTTATGAAAATATATGATGTGGATGATAGGGATGTTAAAGCATCATATATCTGTGGAGAAATTTTTCTGAATATTTAAAAATTGATTATACTATTTTGTATGAGGCAATATATAACCGAAATGTGATTATACTCTGTTCACGGAATTCTAGGAAACTAGCCTGAGAAATTTCACACTAGTAAAGTCTCTACTGAAAAAGATAGAGATCAAACCCCTCTACAGCAAAACAGCAAGAAAATCTCTGTATTGAAGAATCTACTTTCCAATCCACTCAGTGTCTCACTTTTTTCCAGCGATATCTAGTTAAGCAGAAATCTCGAACAATAAATAGAAGAATTTAAATTGCCCATTTGAGGGTGCTTAAGTGGCAATTGACTTGGCTATTTATGTATTGGGTGTATGATAATACATTCTTGACACATATCTGAATGTATTCTGTAATATGTTATACATATCAAGAAATGAACTTATTAGGAAAGGTACTTTTAATTTAATGAACAGTTTTGTGATCACAAGGCAACTCTAAGATAACTGTGTAAGAACTTCATTGACTCGCTTTACATTAGCTTACATCAATTGCATTGTGCTGAGTCCTGAAGAAGGACCTCAAATAGACCTGCCCATGAAAGAAGATACCTTCATCAACTCTGCATAGCCATTGTGGAGCTGAGGACACAACATATATTATTTCTGCAGATACATACTCGACATACTCCCTTTTAGTGTAAGTCACCTATGGAATTTGAAACCCTCTAGTAATTAAAAGGAGGAGTTTCCCATATTGACACTTAGTTTCCATGTATATAACTTGACTAGTTTAATAACTGAATGTTTATGCATTTCAATTTAGTTTCTTTCAACGTAGCTCTCATTTGCCCAAAGAATCACTCAGAGCATGTGGTTTCCTTAAACTCTCAGGTAGACATTCTGTGCTGAAATTCACAGAGCAAATCCTGTAAACATTTTAGCATTATTCTTGACAATGTTTTAACATTCTGCCACATCACCAGGATTAAAGTAACAAATATGGTTGTCTTGCTGTAAGGACCTATTTAATTTATGAAAAGATAACTTATTTCTAAGTATATAAATAATGTTTGCTTATATTATCTCCTAAATGCATAGTACAGTGAAATTAAATAAGGTAATTATAATTTAAATATTTTCATACCTAACCTGCAGATGCTATTTTGTTATTTTTGGCTCTCTAGCATCGACTAAATTCAAAAGTTTAAAATACTTTTTCTAGTAGTCTTTAATTTCTGGTAATAAATAGTTCCGTAAAAACCTCAAGTACCCATCACCTTAAAAAGAATTGAGATCTACATGAAATATTTGAAAATATAAGCCAACAGTATGTGAATATACATATAAACACATCATTTACTCATGGAAAAATAAGCAGCTATAAAAGCTTAAGGAGTGTCTGGGCCCCCTTTTAAATAAAAGGGTATGTGACTTGTGAATAAAATATAAAGGGTTACTAAATGAAAGCTGAAAACATAATAGTTTTATTATGTCATAAATAAACCATGAATTCCCAATGGAATTTTGCACAAGATTTGTGAGCGTCCATGTAATTTTACAATAAAATATACACATCGTAGATGTGTTTAGCTGAACAGAAACCTTGTTTGCCAGTGACAATGGGATCTAAATTGTGATTTAAATTTATTTTTGTCTTATGAACAATTCTTGACATTGGTAAGGTGAGTTTTTACATAAAAGTTTGTGGAGAACATTCACATGCCTAGTTACTTTTAACCCTTTATGCACTGTTAATTTAAGTCTCCAAATACTTCATGATGAAAAACGGTTATAGGCAGAAAAGGAACTGTTCCTTATACATTGCATCCCACATCTTAAAAACAATGCCATCAAATATTCATGTGTGAGGAAAGTTTTCCTGTTATTAATGAGGTTGATAAAATGATAGTAACCACAATGCACAACAACGAGTTATGAGTGTGCTTTACAAATTACTGCATTCATTAATCTTAAGTAGACACCCAGGGGTTGAGAAGAACCTCATTAGTGATATGTGGATAATTTTGTCTTTCAGAAGAGTATATGGTGTTCAATATGTAGAAATAATTTTACCTTATCTAGCTAGAAATCAATTGAGAAGCAACAAATCAAAATGTTATGATTTGGTAATTTTCCAATTAATACCATCTTTGAGGAGAGTGGGTTTTTTTTAACCATAGTAAAATTATCATTTACTTCATCAAAGTTGAACAAATGAAAAATTCAGGCTCTTTAAAGGAACATGTCTTAGCTTCAAGCAAAGTGAAAGTTCCTACAGTATTTCACCTTCTATAACTTGACGTTGAGCCCCAAAGAGATAGAACCCGAGAGTGATATTTAAGATAATACTCAGTACATTTAAATCCACAAAAATTTAAATCTTCTACACAAAATAGACTGGAGAGCTTTAAAAATTCTGAAGCACTTGGAACATTACAGGATAGTCACTAAAAATTACATTTTTATTAATTATGAACTAACAGTAGAAGCTGGTAATGGGCAATGGATAATACTGTATTTTGGTTCCCTTTATTCTTCCTGATGACTTAATTTTTTTCTTCTCCCGTTTACTGTTAATCCTGTAATGTTTTGCTTACTGATATTTTGCTATTGCTAACCTGCTGTTTGCTGATCTATATTTTCCTAAAATTAGACTGAATAGAAACTTCAGGCTTGTGTTAATATAAAAGAAGAGCTATAAATTCAATGATAAGATTTAATTAATCTTTTATTATTACCATCTTTGAAGTTCAGGTAATAAATTGCAGGCTTGGCCAAAAGTACTTCTTCTGATTCATTGCTAGAGGCCAGCACTTCATGTATCATCAAAAGTGGACAGCTTTCTTTATTTCATGGGTTATTTAACTTGAGAAAGGGAAAGTAACACAAACCTTAAATTTCTTATTCCAGCTATTCTTTTTTAGGAGCCAAAGTCAACATTTCTATTTCCCTAGAGCCTCTCACTTTCACTGTGGAATGTTTAGAAACTGAAATTTCTTCTTTTTGAACAACCAGTTTGTCTGTGCAAATGCACTGGATTTGTTGAGCTAATGCTGTTTTTCTGGATCTTTCCTTCTTTCCCTGTCTGTGCTTCAATGCCTCCCCAACTTTGCAATGTAGCAAGCTGAGCAGTTGTTCAATCAGATGTACAATCCAGTAAGTCATTTCTGAAAGTTCCCGCTGTAACATATCAAAGCATGAGGATCCATTGATCACATGTCACGGTGTGCCATACTGGGGAGGTTTCAAAAATATATATGAGTCTCTTCCCATTTCCGTTCTGTCAAAAGAAATGACCTGTGCAAAGGCCACTGCCATTTCTTTTGAATGTGAAATTTAAAAATTAAGAACTTAAAACATTGCCAGCTCTGATATTACCTCCGTCTTAACTTCAACTTTAAGGCTATAGAGAAGTGGAGGTCAGCTGCAGATCTAGGCTCATGGAACTCTTTCTTAGTTCCTTCTAACTCAGAGTTACCTATGTGAAAAGGGATAGCATTTGTAAAATAGCAAGCAAGTCGATGTAAATTACATTCAAATGACAGAAGTTAAAATAAGGTTAGATTTAAAAATAGGGCTATGCTCTCTGAGAATGGTAAATGCCTAACATTATTGTGGGTTTTGTAAGAGTTAAAAACATGTCATTTGGCTGAGGACGAACTAAAATATAGCCTCCTAATAACAGATAGTAACAATTCTGATTATAGCTTAATGGTACACAAAACAGGTAACTAGTAAAAATAAATGTAAAACGAGTGGCCCAGATGCCACCACTGATTTTTTTATCCTAATGACAGGTGTGCATTTATATGAAGCAATTTATTTGTTTCTTTAAGTTATTAAAGAAGAAAGACCTTTTTGTTTTGTCAACTCAACTGGCTTAACTGGGTGAAATATTACCTAAAGGTGACCAGAATTTATCATTTGGCGGATGTGATCTGTGCATTCTAATTACCTCCTATTTATGAATTCCCATCATGGGAAAATGGAATAGCATAGATAAAGGAAACTATTCAGCCCAAAACTTTTTGTTAAGCTGCTATTCCAAAATACATACATACAGCATGATACACAAGATGCTTGGGTGTATTTAATTAGATTCAACCTCCACCCTCCATTCTTTAAAACAAATTTTATTTTTGCAAACAGAATTTCTCAATTTCCATTGGTGCATCTTTATTAACCTCTTTCCCCAAATATGATTTTTAGCAGAGCAGGAAAAATAATTCAAATTTCCTATCCCTTAACATTTGATTGGGAGTGTTATTTATTATTATTTAGGGGTTTTTCTGGGGGAGGGGAGGCAGAGGGAGAGAGAGAATCCTAAGTGGGCTCCACGCCCAGCACATGAGCTGGACACAGGGCCTGATCTCACAACCCCAAGATCATGACCTGAGATGAAATCAAGAGTCAAATGCTTAACCCACTGAGCCACCCAGGCGCCCCCTTGAATGGGAGTGTTAATAAGCAGGCTCTACACAATGGGTAGGTGAAGAAAGACAAGATTGGAATACCTTTAAGCTTGAAAATTGACCCTGGGAAAAAGGACTATTTTCTTTAGATGATTTTTAAAAGATGTAAAATAATCCCAGTGAAATTGTTTCACATTTACTAGTTGGGGACAGGAAGAAAACCTAAGTATATCACATTTTGGGTATGTGCAGGACAACTGGGGAGTGCTTTTTTCCTGTAGCAGCAAGGAGTTACCAGAACCACGATAGGATTTTAGCATCCCTGTCTGAATAGGTAGGACCAAAGAAATAGCTCTGTTAACTTTAAGACCATTTCCAGAAATATTGATGATATGGCACTTATTGGACTTTTCAACCACAGTGGTGGGTCTCTAGGAAGCAAAAACAAACTTTTTTCCTTGAATTAATTAAGCTAACCCATTGGTTTGGCAACCTGGGAGTATAGCCAGCCTCTCATTATTTTAACTCTCCCTGTGTGCAGATATTCTCAGGGTCCAGTTCTTTTTTGGACTGATAGGGATACAGTATGATGGATTTTCTTTCCTTAATAGTCTTTAAAAAAATAATCATGTTATTCTGATTATAAAAATAACATATGGTCACAGTGGAGAATTTGCAAAAGTATGGAAGTATAGGACAAAATAAAATGACAGGATGTCTCCTGGCACAAAGATAATCACTAGGAGCATTTGGGGGGGTTCCCTACCCAGACATCTTTTTTGTTATTCTTACCCTCTCCTTTCTCCCTTTCTCTCTCTTTCCTTTCTCCCCCTTTCTTCCCTTTTTTCTTCCATCTCTTTCCTTTCTTCTCTTCTTTTTCTCATTTAATACTCTTATTTTCTTTTCACCAAATTGTGTCAGTGTTTATGGAATTATATATTCTATTTTTATAACATATCATCAGCATTTTCTCCAATAACTAACTATTCTTCCAAAACACTATCTTATTGTTTATGTGATATTTCACTGTATTTACTCATTCCCCAAATGTTGCTCATCTCCCCTCCCCTTTTTTTTGCCAATGTATAATGCTCTGGAAAACATCTTCCCATATTAATCTCCTCACATTTCTGTGTCTGTCATGGAATAAATACCTGGTCAGTGATTTTTCAAAGCTCCCAATAGTTCTTACTGTGTTGCATTTTAGAGAAGTTCTGCCATGACACTTTTCTTTCAGCACTGGATAAAGGCAGCCTTTCTGCCACAACCTGACCAACACTGAGAAGTGTCCTTTTTCATAACTTGGACAGATGCATAGGTGGAATTTTTTTTTTTTTTGTCATTTTAACTTTATTTTCTTTAATCACCAGAATGGTTGAGGTTTTTAAAACATTTATTAGCTGTTTGTATTTTTCTTCTCTGAATTGTTTCTTTTGGTCATGTAAGCACTTGTTTTTGAGTTTACCGTTTTGTTCATTGGTTTGTATGAATCATTCTATACTTTATATAAAAACTTTGTCAGATTTGTGGCAATATTTCATTTCATTTAAATTTTTTAAAAAGATTTTTTATTTATTTGAGAGGGGATGGACAGAGAGAGAAGGAGAAGTAGGGAGCCAGATTCAGGGCTCAGTCCCAGGACCCTGGGATCATGACCTGAGCCAAAAGCAGATGCATAACTGATTGAGCCACCCAGGTGCCCCTCATTTAAATTTTTTTAATAAAGAAAGCTATAACTATTTTTAGGTTTCTTGACCTGTGTTTCCCTTTAGAATTTTCTCATTTTCTTTAGGCTTAGAAGTCATTCTCTGATTTCAAGAATAGGCACTCACTTACATTTAAAACTTTTTAATGTTACTTTTACATCAGTTTAACCCCTTTATCTGTCTTTAGTATATTTTGATTCATGTTGAGAGGTGAAGTTTTAACATTATGTATTTTTAAATGATCAACTAATTATCCCAGCACCATTTATCAAATAATTCTTTAACCACTGTTCTTCATACTATTTCAGTGTATACTAAGTTCTCATCTGGATGAATGTCTTAATTTCTGAGCTGTTCAGTTTTATCAATGTCTGTTGCTTGTTGGGACAGAATTTTAATTATTGTGGCTTTATAATATTTTTAAGTATCTAGTGAAACAAATTCCACTCTAATTTTTTCTGCTTTTCATTTCATTTTGTTTTTGTGTGCTTAGCCTTTAATTCTCTATTATTCCAAGTAAACTTAAGGATCACCTTGTGAACTAAAAAGCACAACTGTTGGTGATTTTAATTTGAATTATACTCAACCTATAAAATAATTTTAGAAAGATATCTTTCCAATATTATTTCTTCTAATTCATGAACTTGATACAACTTTTATTTATTACATAGATCTTTTACAGTAAAGGTTTGACATTTTCCTATTATAGTCCTGTGATATTTCAAGAATAGTTCTAAGTATTACGGTATATATATGTATATATATATCATTATTATATATAGTATGTAGTATCTATATATAATTAATAATATATATATCATTACTATATATCTATATATAGATAGGCATATCTATCTATATATATAATTTTTAAGCTACTAAAATTTATGTGAAATTAATTTTTGGTGAATGCTCTATTTCTCCTTTTATTTTCTAGCCAGTTATTGATACGTAGGAAATTTCTTTTATTATTGTATGTTTATTTTGAGTAAGGCTACCCTATAAATTTTGCTGAATTATAACTTAATTGTTTTTGTTAAATAAGATCATTTTACAGTCAGATTTATGTCCATTTATCTAAACTAAATCAGAGTAAATAAAGATTCAGCTTTGAAGTTTTCCTGGGAACATTTTTTTCCTGGAGTAGAAATAAACCTACTTTTGAAACTCTTTTACTTTTACTTTAGTCACCCAGGTACTAAGTGATGCTGTAATTCCATTTCTTAGGAATCTAAAATTTTGTCTTTGTATCCTGATTATTTCTTATAATAATAACCTTTCTGCAGCTTAACTACCAGTCTTTACTCCTGGAGGAGTTTTGTCTTGTCATTATAAACACTATGCAGGTTATCTTCAGTTGAATTCTTTTTCTTCCCTTAGTTCTTAATTCCAGACAAATAATATGGTTTATTCATCAGTCTCAAATACCTTCTTTGCTGTGGCCCTAGTAGTTATTATGCCCAGAGATGGTATCCAGAGGTCTCTTAAAAATTTTTAATAAAACTTTAGAGCTTCTGGCTCCTAAGTTTAGTGCATTGTATAATATCCTTGTTGCTGCAAGGCAAATGACTGATTTGGAGGCACCGAGGACAACTTTGTGACTGGCCAGGGTACACTTGAGACCACTCTGATGTACTTCCACACATGTGAGTTTCCCCCCTTGCCTGGTCACTATCCATTGAAATCCTATATTTTCTGCAAACGCGTCTTTTGCAGGGCTCATATTTTATGTAACAGTTTATAAGAAAAAGACCAAGCATTTTTCCAGTGTAGAGAGAGAAAAAAAGTCTTACTAATGTTCATTGAGGTCTTCCTGACTTATAGGTCGTCATAGGACTCTGCAATCCCAAGGACATGGTGGACTGCATTATAAATGCTTTCACAGTCACTGTTTAGGTACAGCGGTTTATTTTTGTGATTTTTGAGGACGATTTATGAAAATTATTTAATTCACTCGTAGACTAGTCCCCCCAACACAATGGAGAATTACAAATATTTAAGAGATAATTCACGGCATGCACATAGCATGTACAAACAC